AGCCCACAAGAGGATTTAAGAACTTATCCCCCAGTTTTGATCGAAGTTTTGTACAAAAAGATCCAGGCAATGAAAACGCCCTCTCTGATCGCACGTTGTAAATATTCGTAATATAACTGGAAATTCTAACCACGACAACCACCATCCTCAAAAAGTGTCTTTTCTTGTCTAATTATTTTAGTTAATCCATTTGCTTTTGTACCTGATGACCGTGGTACTATATTTGTAGACGCAGATATTGCTTTTTCGGGACTTTTAAGGTCCCGGGACCAGTTTTTTTGGTAAAATACCAAATAACGGGACTGGAAACCCTAGTTTAAACGTGTTTTCCTCGAAACTACGTTTTTTAAACTTGTTTAAGCTCTAGTCTAGATTTTGAACACATTTTAAATTTTAAAAAAGTTGTTTCATTGGAGGATTGTATTTTGTGTGCATCCGATTTTCTACACGATGATTCTAAAAAGCTGCACGAAAACATTATTTTATATTTTCTTAACAGAACACCCTATATATGTAATGTAGATATTTATTGAAGGATCTATCTTTAATAATAACGGATATATAATCAAGAGTGCTCAATAAACAGAAGGCAAGGAAAACAAGTTTAATGTATTAAGAATAAACGAACAACAGTTGTAAACTAAATTAAATAGTATTCAACAAACAAAATTAAAATATTATTAATTTAAACGAAATGTTGGAAATGCCATCCGATCAGCGTCTTGGCAATAAGCAATACGATGAACACATTCTTCTTGTACCTCTGGACTAATTCTGTTCATTTCGTCGCTTATTCGATATCTTAACTCCTATAAATTCTGCGGTCTGGTTAAGTAGACTTTTGATTTCAAATAATCCCACAAGAAAAATCAAGGAGTGTAAGATCTGGACTTCGAGGTGGCCTCTCTACGTCTACGTGCAAAGTGCGGAGGTGCTCCATCTTGTTGAAACCAGATATTAGGTACCCTTCAGTGCTCGAGTACATTTGGAAAAATTTCTACAAGGACAGATATAACTTAATTTCTTAGAAAATCCAAATATCGTTTCCTCGGAGAAGAACAGTCCAATGATTATCTCTTGGTTATATCTCCGTTATTATTAAAAATCGACTCATTAATATCTACATTACTGTATTCGGGTGTCAACGTTTTATCCAAATCTGTACAAACATATATTATGGTGTTCCATTCTTTTTTCGTGCAGCCTTTTTGAATCACCCTGTAGAAAATCGGATGCAAGTAAAAAACGGCAAAAAACAAAATAAAATCGACCCGACTCGGCGTTTTTATATAAAAAAAATTATTACAGTATTATTTCATTTGCTCCATAATTTAGCCGCTCATGTCTACGTTTATAAGCAAACGATTAGATTTAACATTAGATAGAAGAGATATGAATATATAACAGCAAAAATTTAAAATAGTGTTACTGGCGGGCAGATGAGAATACCGGGAGTTTTAAATTTCTATGAATTTATTTAGATGAAACCTTTAATTAGAAATGATTCCACCCTTCCACATACTGCTCCCAGTGAATACATTACACAGCCCCACAAAAAAAAAAAGTGTTCGGACTTGTGGGTCGGACATATGTATTCCCATGTATTTCGACGCTGAATCCGATCCCGAGCTCAGAAATGGCCCTCCACGTCTGGAATTGGCCCCAGGGGCCAAAAATGGCCTCTATAGGGCCTGAAAGATGGATTCCGGGATGAGGCGAGGTCGAAGGTGCATTCTAAAGCCAAAGCCGGATTTGTGGTCGAAAAGTTTATGGCCAACTGAAATTCCCCGTTTGGGACCGGGAAAATGACCCCTTAGGGGCCTGAAAATCGTGTTTCGTACGTCGCAATCGCAACAGTGGTATTTTTATGTACTTTTAAATTCTGGAACTCAAACTGTGCTCGAATTCCAGAATTTAAAAACCATTTAACACCACTGTTGCGATTGCGACGTCCGAAACACGATTTTCCGGCCCCTAAGGGGTCATTTTCCCGGTCCCAAACGGGAGATTCCAGTTGGCCATAAACTTTTCAAGCACAGTCAGAGTTCCAGAATTTAAAAGTACATAAAAATACCACTGTTGCGATTGCGACGTCCGAAACACGATTTTCCGGCCCCTAAGGGGTCATTTTCCCGGTCCCAAACGGGGAATTTCAGTTGGCCATAAACTTTTCGACCACAAATCCGGGTTTGGCTTTAAAATGCACCTTCGACCTCACCATATTCCGGAATCCATCTTTCAGGCCCTATAGAGGCCATTTTTGGCCCCTGGGGCCAATTCCAGACGTGGAGGGCCATTTCTGAGCTCGGGATCGGATTCAGCGTCGAAATACATGGGAATATATATGTCCGACCCACAAGTCCGAACACTTTTTTTTTGTGGGGCCGTGTTATTTGTAAAAATATTTTTATATAATACAAAATTTTAGCTTTAATTTCGTTATATAAACTTGAAATATGAGTATGTTTTTAAAAACTGACATAAGTTTTTAATTATACAAAAATACAATGCATAAAAATGATATTCTTATATCTTTTCCAAATTGCTAGACGTCACCAAATAATTTGGGGCCAAAAATGTTTAATAATTACGCTGAGTGAACACAAAAACTGAAAAAATTAAATAATTTTTAGCAAATAAATGTTTTATTTCTTTTGTGTCGTCTTGAATATTTTCTATATTGGTTATTTCATTATCCAATTGATAACTGTAGTAAAAATGTATATGTATTTGAATATGAAATTTTAATAATTATATCTACATTATGAAAAACTTTTATCAGTTAAATAGACACACATATTTTCGTAATTATGTCAAAAACCGTTAAGGGGGCGTTTATTTCGCAATTTTTTGTCCAGAATTTTAGAATATCTAAGCAAGTTAGAAACAATATCTCTTCAATGTACCAGATATATAAGTTTTCTGCAGTGTATAAAACAACTGAAAATACTTTCAAAATAAGGGAAAAAAAATTTTTATTTATGTTTATTTCACGTTTCCTAAATTTTGCACGCCCGTTGAACATACAAAAATCGCGTACGGTACTAATCACACCCCGCAGAATGCTTTTAGGAAACTATTAACGCATGCATTAAACACAATTATTGAGTATCTTTACAAATTTGCTGGACAAAATAGGAAAGGTACATTTTCGGATGTTCACATGTTCTCCGTGATCTTTCAATGTGAAGAATTAAAGGAAGTTTAGTTTTACGTTTAGTCACTTCCTGGATGGATCTACTAAAAGTGTGATATTAGTGATTAATTTTGAAAAACATCCGTAATTTTATAATGGAATGGGAAAATGCAGTAAAATTTGAAGATCTCTCAATAGTCTTGATATGAATTCAATAGATTTTAATTAATTAGTAATCTGTTTCTGGCATGTTTACGAGAACCATAACTTTGTAAGTCACTTAACTAACATGAAATAACGTATTTTTTAATTGTAAAACAATTTAAGCTATATTTACGACCTTTCTGGATTTTATGATAATACATTTTAGTAATACTGTCCAATATTTTAAGAAACTTATTTTTTTTTAAATAGAACACACATTTATATATAAAGTAAAAGAAAAAAGAACATAGTAACAATTTTGAGGATTTAAGAAGTATGAAATTTTGTAAAGAATGAGATTTTCTCATAATTACCTACGGTACACAATTACGCGACCCAAAGTGTGCTAAATGTGTGCAAACAATAGGCTTTAGGTATAATAAATTCGTGATATTTTCTCTTTTTTCATTAAAGAGAGTTTCAGTTAATTTAATTGTTAAAAAAGTATGTCAGTGCTTGTTTGCGTTATTAAGTGTCACATTTAACTTTTTTATTATGGGTAACCTTCGACGCCTTTAATCCTCAAATTAGATGAAGCACAGATTAACAGAATATAATTGTTTTATTAAAAACAATAAAAAACATCTTAATTTTACATAGGTAAACATCGAAAAGAAAAATATCAGTTTTACAACTAAAAAAATAACATAAAATCGAACTAAAAAAAGTATTTTGCAAATTTATTTAAAAGATCTACAGATTCCGTGTTTGATATTTCTGGTTTCAGCAAAATGCTCTTGAAAGATGGATGAATTAATGATCATTAATCTTTGACAGCTTTTTCTAAAAGCGGAAATGATTTTATATTTTTTTTTATTCAAATTATTTATAAAGGTTATTTTTAAATATACATATTACATATAATAATATATATATTGTCTATATCGATATACATAGTGGCCACAACTTTATTTCCTTCCATAAAATTTTGGGCTCTCCTATTATATATTTTTTTAGCAATACATACGTACATTACTTTGCAAAGTCCCCTTAAAAGGTATAAAGGGGGAAGAAGGAGGTAATTACGAAGAAATCTAATATAGAACGTCTCTTTATTTCTCCATTACTATTTACTTATTTACTTACAAAAAACAGTGTCGTTGTATCAGTTCGCCCCAGTTTTTAATATAAAGTGAGCTTTTTTGCAGGTGTAACTTTTTAACAGTAACAGCAACTTATTAAATAAAAATATCTAATAAAAAAATATATAAAAATAAAAACCCATTTTCCATTAATCAATTTTTATAATAACAAATAGGTCAAACAATTGGTTAAATTGTATTGGTACATACAACAAAAGAATTATGTCCAATTTCTAAATTTTTCTGAGTTGAACAAGAGTAGAGACAACGGAACTTGTTCATTAGCCAATATGGCGACTTTTTAGTGACTGATATATTTTTTAATAGTATGCGTTAGTAAGAATTTTAAATAATAATATGGAATTATAAAAATGACGAGATGCCATCAATGTTTATTGCTTTCATTTCTTATACAACATACAGTTAGACAATATAAATCTTAACAGATAGCAATAGTAAAATAAATCAGTGTAAACATTTAGCACTGTTATAAATTCCTCCTAGATTCCATACGTTTCCCTATTATAATTAGAATTCCAAACATTTTTCCTTTATTAATACAAGCGATAAGAGATAAATTTTGTATATATATAAGGAGAAAATTGCAAAAAAAATTATACCAGCTCAGAAAGCAACTGAAAAAATGGCTAAACTAGTATTGTCAGCAATCATCGCATTCGCATTCGCGGCAGGTAAGAAATTAAATATTTTTACTAGAATTATCCTTTCGATAATTTAAAATTAATGATCAATTGATAAATAATCATTTTAGGAATTAATGCCGGTGTCGTGCAAATTAAGGACTTGGATATTACGACACTTCCTTTACTCATTGAGACAGAAGAAAGCGCACCCGAAAATTTACCCGATACTATTCCAGAGGTCGAAGCCGTTATTCCGGAACTTATTGCAATAAACCCTTGTGATGCTTGCTTTGAGTATATGACCGCTTTGATAGATCAGCTAGCAAGTGGAACTGTCGTTCAGCCTTCTATACCTGGACCAGCTCCTATAGAACCTGAAGAAAGTTTGCCAGAAGTGGAAGACGAGGAGGAAGTACCAGAAGTAGAGGAAGACACACCAGAAGAAGAAGTCGAAGAAGAAGAGCAGGTTCCTGAGGCAGAAGACACCCCAGAAGAGGAAGAAGTTGAAGAGGAGACACCAGAAGAGGAAGAAGTTGAAGAGGAGACACCAGAAGAGGAGGAAGTTGAAGAGGAGACACCAGAAGAGGAAGAAGTTGAAGAGGAGACACCAGAAGAGGAAGAAGTTGAAGAAGAAAAAACTCCAGAAGAAGAGGTAGAAGAGGAGACTCCAGAAGAGGATGAAGTTGTTGAAGAAGAGGATACTCCAGAAGAAGAAGTTGTAGAAGAGGAAACTCCAGAAGAGGAAGAAGTTGAAGAAGAGACCCCAGAAGAAGAAGCCGTTGAAGAAGAAGAAACACCAGAGGTTGAAGACGTAGAAGAACAAACTCCAGAAGAGGAAGTTGTTGAAGAGGAAACACCAGAAGAAGAAGTTGCTGTGGATGAAGCGCCAGTGGATGTAGAGCAGCTACCAGAAATAATAGAGGCAGAGGTGTCAGAATCAGAAATTACCGAAATTTCAGAAGTGGAAACTTCAGAAGTAGAACAGAATTCGGAGACTGTGCAAGAGGAATCTAAATAAAAAGTTATTTCTTTATTGGGTTAATTAAGCATTGGTCAAATGTAAAAACGAATAAATTTAAATTATAAGTGCAAACAGTATACTCGTATTTAAATATAATAATTTCCCTAAACATATATTATTTGTTTCAATAAATTGTAGCTGAACAAAATTTTGTTTTATTACATCAAGTTATTGTCAGTTATTGTATTTAATGGTTTTATCTTTAATTTAGTAATTCTAGTACGAAAAAAAAAACTTTATTTAGTTTAGTAATTTTCGTGCTAAGAAAACAAGTATTTACACGTCAATACAAAAAAAAATAATAATTTAGAAAGAGAAAAAACTAGATGCATATAGAAAAGATTTGCATAATAACAGCAATCTTAGTGGAAACATATAAGAAATAAAATTGAAAAACGTGTAATATCAAAATTGTATACACCTCGAAATTCTAATGTAAACGTACTACAGTAACGCTAATTGTAAGAATTAAAAGTAATTAAAATTGCTATTAAAATGTTCGCAAAAAATATGAAAACATACCTAACAACTTTCACCAAAACTACATAGTTGTAACCCAATTGGCAGCAAAATAAAAGCTCTTCTTCTAAAGCTTACATTCTAATCTATTGCTGTTCCATCATCTAAATTATTTAAAAAGTTGAGTGTCATAGCTGACAACGATGTCTGTCTCACATCGATGTTTTCGAGCCGATAGTCAACTATATCTGCAAATATTACTTATATTAATACAGTGTGACACAAAATTATGGGTCCATCCTATTTTTTTTTTTCAATATCTCTTCAACCAATGCACCAATCACAATGAAATTTTGGTGAAAGACATGTTTTTATATATCGGTTTGTGTGCCATAGGTAATTGAAAATTAGCAAAAATTTTTTTTTCAAATTTAATGAATTGGGTGACAAAATTAAGGGATCACTTAAAAAAACAACGTTTATCTATTGACAAAATTAACAAATCATTTAAAATGAAAATTTTACAATTAATAACTATTAACGTTTTCCGACTTTTCAATCGCCTCAATAATCAGTTTTGATATGCTTTGAACCAGCTACGCAAGAACATCCAGTAGTATGCCATCCCAAACCTCAAATATGGCCGCCTACAGCTGTCGCGAACTATGTATAATGCCCCACAGAGGTTCTCAATCGGATCGAGATCCGGCGACTTGGCCAGCTCAGCTGGCATGTTTTCGTCTGTAGTCAGGCTTTCGCCAAGGCAACGTGGGTGGCAGTATTATCGTGCTGGAATGTGAATCGTACCGACGGAAATCGCTGTTTATATGATATGAAAGCGATCTCAATCTCAATCCGACTGATATCCTTTGAGGCATTCTAGTTTTATAGTTCGCGAAGTTTACGCTGATTGCTGGCAATACGACAACGTTGAACAGCTCGAAGCGGCCATATTTCAGGCTTGGGACTGCATACAGTTGGATGTTCTCTCGTCGCTGGTTCAAAGCATGCCAAAACGAAAGAAATGTTACTAGTTATAAATTGTTTAATTTTCATATTAAATTATTTGTTAATTTTGTCAATAAATGTTGTTTTGTTAATTGTGCCCATTTGTCTCCCAATTTTAAGAAAAATACCTACTAATAAAATTTCTATGTTTTTTTCCTAATCTTCGAGTATGGCACACAAACCGATATGTAAAAATATGTATTTTACCAAAACATTACCTTTGCTGTATTAGTTGAAAAGATATTCAAGAAATATAGGGTGGACCCATAATTTTGTGTCACACTGCACACGTCAGGACACGTCTGTTAACGTTGGATATAACTTCGAGCATAAGAATTTACTCATCTGACAGAAATCGTTTAGCATTATGATAAATATTATTGTATTTATTATGTAGATATTTGGTGTAAAACAGTGGAATATGTAAACAACAAAATAACAAAAAGCAATTGAAACTAAACACAAAATATGTATCCAAAAAAACTATAACTCGTATTTTATATGTCGAGAACTGCCTTAGTAGTGTTGTTGCTAATATTTATGTTCACAATTACAATAAAAACAGAACAGAATAGAAAAGAACTGAAATAATATAGCTACTACGCATGAGCAATATGTCTAGTGATGATGGTGTCTGAAGACGGAACCAGAGCATGTGCTGACCACAATGCCGCGGCAGACGCCGGTGTCTGCAGCAAAATACTTAAAAAATATAATAAAAATTCATTTAAAAGTCTTACGAAATGATAAATTTACAGATTTTTATTAACATATTTCTGAATTTATTTTTGACAAGACGACCTAACTTTACTGTGACACTCAACTTGTTAATTTATTTATGTCAAACAAGTATCAAAACTTGGAGAGAATACTTCAAGGAACAAATCGAGGTATGAAATCTGGATTAGCAGAAATATCTTTTGTAAATAGTCATTTTTACTTGTTTAATACCTACTGATTTGCCATATTATTACTATTAAAACTTTTTGGGGGCACATGTTTCCGTAATGAAGTAGAAGTGATGATTATCAAAAATTAAACTAGCCATTTTTCAATTTACAGCAACAAAAAACACCATTTTAACCTCGTATAGCAATTTTCCGCATGGCCCGTCGCGAGCAGGGCCTTTTAGAACATTTTTTAAATTTCTGTAGAGCAAAAAAATTGGTATTTGACAGAACTTATTCTGTATATTTTATATTGTATATTGTACATATACTGTACAGGGTGTCCCATAATTATTGCAACAAAATGGTAGGGGTTTGAAGAGGGCATGAAAATAAGCAATTTTACCTCATAAAACCCTGTCCGAAAATATGCCATTTGATCGCCACAACGCAGGTCTCCCTTGACTCACTAGTTTGCTATTTACATTCATGTCGGCCTAAAGTCGCCACACCGGTTCAGTTAAATTAACATCTGGGCCGGCATTGTGGGCGAGCAGATCATGGGACCATATTTGCCATTACGTTTGAATGGGCACGTTTATGCTCAATTCCTACAGAATATGCTTCCGGGACTATTTGAGGATGTGCCACTTGACATAAGAGCTGACATGTGGTTTCAACACGATGGCGCTCCAAGCCACTTTGCTTTGCCAGTGCGGCAGTATTTGAACAAAATATTTCCCAACAGGCCGAGGTGGCACTGTGCATGGGCCTGCGCGGTCCTGTTTTGACCTGTTGGATTATTTTCTCTGGGGCCATCTAAAAGCTTTAGTATATGAAACGCCTGTTCCCAACCAACAAGAGCTAATGGGAAGAGTAATGACCGAGTCCGCACAGGTTCAGGACATACCGGGGATATTCCACAGAGTTCGCCAATCAATGAACAATTGGGCCCAGCTGTGTACTGAGCAACGTGGAGAACACTTTGATCAATTATTACACTAAATTGGTATTTTATTGATATTTTTCTTTTTTTTTTTTTTTTTGGTGTAGCGGACAAACGGCATATTTCCGGACAGGGGTTTATAAGGCAAAATTGCTTATTTTCATGCTCTCTACGACCCCTATCATTTTGTCGCAATAATTATGGGACACCCTGTATATGTTATAATAAAGTTTTTTTAATTTGCCACCGTTTGTTGAAAACGTTTTTTATTGCCGTAAATCTCCAACTTGTAAAAATAAATAAATAAATAAATAAATAAATAAATCGGTCCAAATAATTATTTAGGACTGTCATAAATTCCTAATAGATTTTATGTGCTACCTATTGTGATTTAAATTCCTCACATTTCTCTTTTATTATTAAATGCGATACGATATAACTAAATATATAAAAACAAAAGTGTTTTTATATTGTGGACATTTATATCAAAAGTTCGGCTGCAATAATACATATCTGTTAAGAATTAAAAAATTAATGTGATAACTGTAGATTGAAATTTCAAGTTTGAGCTGTGAGTGAGCATCAGATACAGTTCTGAAATTTAAAATTTATAAATTCATAGACATGTTCAGGAGAACGAACTTTGTTCGGTGCAAATCAAAAACATTCCGGGTAGGTATTGAAAAATATTCTCTTACTTAGTCTTATTTTCTGAATTTAAATCACAACTGGCTAATAATTACCTATCAAATGTGAGCAATGACAATAAATCCTAGAGTGGCTTTCAATTCTATGCTAAATTCACACATATTTTCAGTACCAACTTTTTTGTGACGTAATAATTTTAGCACAGAAGATATGGATATTCATTTTAATATAAAATATTTTAAAAGAGTAAACCTCATTTGAATATTAAAAATAACTATTTTCAATTTAGAGTTACATACTTCTGGAAATAACTGAAGTATCCATCAATTACTTCACTTCAAATGGAATACCCTGAGTGAATGTATTTTTCAGACGAAAACGTATTATATGTCCTACACATAACTAACTATATTGTTGGCACATCTTGAAACCATCAGATTTATAAAATAAAATTTTAAAAATTTATAAAAAAAAAGCAATTAATTAGTTCGTTATCAGATTGTTACGTATTTTAAGATATAATAATTATTATTTATGCACAGAGATTACAGGTGGTAATTCATACATATACAGTATTTCTACCTTCTAGATTTAATTAGAAATATAACATGTATTTGTTTTTTTTATGTTATACAACTGTAACAAAAGCCGGGACGCGCAGTCATTTATTTATTAGTTCCCGGAACGGAAAGTAAGATATTTCAGTCGTCACAAATTATCGTAGGGTTAATGGGTTTCAAGTACGTCGCCAAGATCGTCCTTCAGAGAAATTTGCCAATATTTTTTAACAAGTTTACTTAAACTGTCGAGGACATGTGTTAAGCGACTAGTATGAGAAAAAAAATCGATATTTAATAACGCGCGAAACCACAAGAAGAGCGTGGAGATTCCAAATTAGAATTAAATTATATTGTAAAATTGATAGTAATTCTAAAAGAGAGTATACCTAAGCAGCTGGGTTTTTTGACGGATTTTTCCTAGTATAAAAGTAGATTAAATGAGATCGACTAATCCGTCCCGTAATTGCTACGCGGAGTCATAGGGGAAGGCTAGGGTTACAAGAAGTCATATAATTATTGTTATAAATGTAAATTCAGTCAATTAGACACACAAAAAAAAAGTTGGGTATACTTTTTATGCGACATATATTTTTCGTAGTAATTTG